CAGTGGCCATGGAGAGGTTTCTCTCACCTGGCCCCAAGTAGCTGGATGAGAGGGGGCTGGGGCAGCCTGCATACTGAACCCCTCATCCCCACCCCACAACAATGACTTAAACGAAGTGTGAAGATTTTAATTATATTTTACAAAAAATAATAATTAATTGAATTAAAGGCCTGAACAACACAGGGTAAATTTTCTGGTTGTTTCATATTAAGGAAGTACGAGCAGATCTGGTCATCTGCTCTATCAGGCAGTTCCTCTTTCCTGTGCACAGCACTGCACAGTTAACTAAGTTACATTGAAGAAGGCCTGTACCTTCCTGTAAAGCAGGGGTGGGTAAAAGCCACTCAGCAGGCTGGATCCGGTCCACCTAGGGCTTTGATCTGGCCTACACGGCTGTTCCAGGCCCCGCCCCAACACGTTGCCTGGAAGCCGTAGCTGCGTGAGCCCTTTAAACTGCTTCTATTTAAAGGGCTCGCACCTTCATCGCTCCTGTCAGGCAGTGTGTTGCCTGGCAGCCATGGGGAAGGCGTGAGCCCTTTAAATAGAAGCAGTTGAAAGGGTTTGCAGCTCCCGCCCTGCTGCTAGCATGTTCTGTGGGAGCCACATGTGAGCCCTTTGAAATGCTTCTATTTAAAGGGCTCTTGCCTTCCCCATGGCTGCCAGGCAACAGCCCCAGAGAAGGCGCAAGCCCTCTAAATAGAAGCAGTTTGAAGGGCTTGCGTGTCCCTGGCTCTCAGGCAACCAACCCAGTAGCAGTGAGGCCAGGAGTAGCAAGCCTTTGAATAAGCAGGAATTGAAAGGACTTGCAGTTCCCAGCTCTGGCTAACGTGATACCTGGGAGCTCCAGGGGAGGAGCGAGCCCTTTCAACTCCAGCTATTTAAAGGCTCCACCCCTTCCGTCTCATGCTCTGCCCCTTCCAGGGCAGCCTGCAACCACTTCATAAATTTTTGAAGTGGTCCCTGCTCAAAAATTATTGCCCACCCCTGCTTAAAACAGTGGTTATTGGTCCCTGACCATGGTGCCAGTCCGAACCCTACGTGTTTAAGTAGGTCACTAGGAAAGTAACCTTGTTTCTAGTCCTTGCTGCAACCTATAATATCCTAGTTAAGACAGAATCAGATTTGTTATACTAAAAATTCCCTTGCATGCCTGATGTGTCATCAACATCCTGTGTTTTCCCTCTCAAATAAGAGTTTGTGTTGCAGAGGCAGGGACTATTGGCCTTCCCCTAACTTTCCACACTGTTCTTTGGCTATTAAATATGCCATGGTACTCTGTGCAGGAGGAAAGGATAGGGTTAGCCCAGATATCCTGGCCAGACTGTTTTGTACTGCTGTGGCAGTGTGGGGATTGGAAGGCTGAAGTGAAAAGACTATATCAAGGGACTTGTTCAACATCTTTATTAATGACCTGGATGAGGGGATAGATTGCACCCTCAGCACGTTTTGAAGATGACACTAAGCTAGGGGGAGAGGTAGATACACTGAAGAGCTGGGATAGGGTCCAGAGTGACCTGGACAGATTTGAGAATTGAGCCACAAGAAATCTGATGAGGTTCAACAAGGACAAGAGTAGAGTCCTGCACTTGGGATGGAAGGAATCCCAAGCATTGTTACAGGCTGGGGACCGAATTGCTAAGTAGCAGTTCTGCAGAAAAGGACCTGGGGATTACAGTGGATGAGAAGCTGGACATGAGTCAACAGTGTGCCCTTGTAGCCAAGAGGGCTAATGGCATATTAGGGTGCATTAGGAGGAGCATTGCCAGCAGATCCAGAGACATGATTATTCCCCTTTATTCGGCTCTGGTGAAGGCCACACCTGGAGTATTGTGTCCAGTTCTGGGTCCCCCACTATAGAAAGGATGTGGATGCATTGGAGAGGGTCCAACGGAAGGCAACAAAAATGATTAGGGGGCTGGAGCATATGGCCTATGAGGAGAGTCTGAGGGATTTCGGATTATTTACTCTGCAGAAGAGAAGAGTAAGGGGGGATTTGATAGCAGCCTTCAACTTCCTGAAGGGAGGTTCCAAGGAGGATGGAGAAAGGCTGTTCACAGTAGTGACGGATGGCAGAAAAAGGAGCAATGGTCTCAAGTTACAGTGGGAGAGGTCTAGGTTGGATATTAGGAAAAACTATTTCACTAGGAGGGTAGTGAAGCACTGGAATGGGTTGCCTAGGGAGGTAGTGGAATCTCCATCCTTAGAGGTTTTTAAGTCTCGACTTGACAAAGCCCTGGCTGAGTTGATTTAGTTGGGATTGGTCCTGCCTTAAGCAGGGGGCTGGACTTGATGACCTCCTAAGGTCTCCACTTCTCACCCACAGCACCTCACTCTTTGGGGGCCAGGACTATCTATTCTAACTTCTGAGACAGCAGTTTCTCTCTTGAAAATTATATAGTGTTTGTAGGGGTTGTATGCAATCTACCAATTTCCTAACCAGACATGACCCCCTGTTCTATCCACAGCACAGCCAGGTGCATCAGAGTTACTCTAGGTGTGGAAGGGGAGCTCTTGTGCATGTTGATGTTGTCATACTATCTTCTCTAACAGCAAGGGTTGTGTGGCTTACTTCACTCCTTCTGGAGCAAAACAGACCTAAAATCTACACAGACAAAGAAAAAGTTAATGTGCATTTAACTGACTTCTGCCCGGCAATTATAGCCCTTTGAACCCATTGGGGTGCTGAGTTTACATTCTTTGATGCACAGTGTGTAATTAAATATGTATAGTTTGTACATATTCCTGTCATTCACTTCAAGGAATAAGGAGAATTATCCACTAGAGTCGAGGAGGTATCGAAGAGGCCCGTAAGCCATAAGGATGAGGTGTGGGTGATTTAGGGTCTGGATTGGAACTGCTTCCTTCATGTAGAAAACGTCTTTTTAAGTGGCCTTGTTGGTGCTGTGTGCTGTTAAATAGCCACTTTCTCCTCTGCTCTCAGAGGTGAATGCATTCAAGTGGACTATACAGTAGTTCTCGTGTGTATTGTATTTTATTTGTATGAACTGGTTGCAAAACAAGAAATAACCAGCAATGCTTTATTCCCGGCAACAAAAATGTCTCTCAAATACTTTTATTCATGATTTACTTTATGGTAGAACCTGGAGAAACCTACTATAATTGAGGCCTCATTATGCTAGACACTGAACAGATACATAGTAAGATACAGTCCTTGACCCAAAAATTGTGTATGCTTAGGTAGGCAAAAAAAATAAAGGGTGGCGAAAGAAGGTCATGTGCTCCTTTTTTTACAGATGGGGATCTAGGAGTTTGCTGTGATCGCTTTCTGGGTGGCAGAGGCTGGGTTCTGTACCCAGATCTCTTGCATCTCAGTTCTGTTCTTTAACTGCATGACCACCCTTCCTGTCTCTATGCTGAACTGTTTATGCTTCACGTGTGGAGTGCCTCCCCTCACGTCTCCCTGGCTTCCAAAAAATTGGTGTAAGAATAGCATCTATAGTGACATACTCTAAGGTATACATTTTCAGGGCTGTCAGTCCTCAGGCTTCAGAGCCTAAAGCACAGCAGCAGCTGGGTGCAGGAAAAAATCTCCCTCTAAGCTTCAGATATAGTTGTTCAACTTGTTGTGTGGAATGGGAAGGGGTCAGTTCTTACTCACGCTCACTATTTCCTTTTTGTGCAGCATTTCCTTGAAGCAGTGCTGCACAGATGGACCAGTCTTATGCAGCAGTGTGAGGAGGGATAACCAACTTCTAGAGTGACCTATAACAGCCCATGTTCCAGACATCATCTAAGCTCAGCAAATGCTGCACTGTGCCTCTTGGAGGAGAAACTGCTGTGGGCATGGAGCAGAGGAATGGGTCAGAAGAAGACAATATAACAAGGAGATGGGAGATGGCTGGGGTCCATCCATGTACTGCAACAACTTTTCTGAGCAGTGGCAGCCACTTAGGTGTTAAGGTAGTGCCCCAGGCTGCTCAGAAAGCCATTAACTAGCCTTGAGAGAGAGGGCAATAGGTAGGTGGAAAGAACATTTCATGTTTTGTCCTTACGGGGTTAACAAGCTCCCTATTAAGTGGAGACAGAATGATGGAGAGAATCTCACTAGTTTATAGTTTGGAAAGTTCAACCTCCAAAGCATTCCTCTCCTCCAGTGCCCTGGCTGCCTCTCTACAGCTTTTATCCCCATTGTGCTGTGGCAGTGGAGTAAGAGCCTTGGCCTTTGTCAGATTTGGTTTCTCTTTTTTTCCTTCGAGTACAATCTAATTAGCGGCAGCTCAGCAACCAGTGCAAGCAGCAGGATAGCTATTTTAATGGGCTCGAGGTTTCAGTGAATGGAACCTGGGGGGTGGAGCAGCTGGAATTTGGAGAAAACTAGAGTTCGGTGTATTAAACATTTACTGTGTGCTCAAGATTGTAGAATGAGGAAGCCCATAAATATCCTGACCCGAGGCTAGGAGTGGGGAGGGAGGTGAGAACGTTGTGGAATGAATGCACACATCAGGAAAGAGATGGAAAAACTGTTACTGGGCCTCATCTTACTATTTCATAGCCTAACTGGCTCCTCCTTCCAGGAGGTTTTCCTGCTATGTATCCTATATTCCTTTGTTCATTTTCATTCTCTTACTCTGATGTTTGTAAACAGAATTCTCTGATTGAAATGTAAAGAGAAGCCCTCATCAAGTTTTTTTTCTTGGGACATTTCTGAACAACTAGCCTGAGGTGACCAACCACTTGGTAAAGGTCTAAACCACTGCACCCCACTGCTCAGCAAAGATAACACAGCTAAAAAGACTCGGAGCTACTTGTATTTCTGTAGAGCTTTCCCCTTCGTGCATTCAGTATTTTACAAGCAATTGCCTTTCAACTGTCCCCCATTCCTTTATATTAACTCAGCTCAGGCATGAGATCAGAGTAACTGTTGAATCGCTCTTTTTGGCGCACTGCCCCCCTGTTAAGCTAAGTCTTTTTTCCTTGCCTTCTTGCAGACCCTTCCATTTCCTAAATGCTCTTTTACTGAATCTCCTTTTTCCCTGCAGCCACTTCCAATGGGACTCTGGATGGCCTGGAGAACAGAGAAGGTGGCGTCTGCCAGACACGCTCTATGAAGATTGTCATGAAAGTGGGGCAGGGTGAGTCACTCCAGTCATCTAGATTTTCCCGTTGAACATGAAATCCATATTGAAATGAAATGTGCTACATCTTACATAGCTTTTGTGCTGCCTGAGATGTGCTAGTGAACCCCTCTTAGGAGCTTAAGGATGTGCCATTGGAACAACAGGTTTAAAACTCAGCATTACTGAAGCATTATGAAAGGACTGAGCTAGGCAGAACTGAAAACTTGATGTCTCTTGTGTTCATCTTAGTTGTGACATCTTGTGCGGAGTGGATAGGAGAGGAGCCAGTTGATGTCTTTGTATTTGATCACTAATTTACAATGGTCAATTCTAGAATAAATGTTATGGTGCCCAGATACCTTTGGCTCAATTGATGCTGTAAAATACAGGTAATGGTGATGTCCTTGGGTTCAGGGGAGGACATACCAAAGAAACAGAGATGGGGGGAAGACCTATCAAGTCCCCTCTAGTCCAGGGGGCAGTGCAGAGCTGTTTCCTACACTTTTCCAGTGCCTTCTCTGGTTGAGAACACTCCCCCTTCTTAGCTAATTAAGAGGATTAAATCATTTGAGTTTAGCAACCAATCATGAGTCATGCATGGGGCCTGCATTTTTCAGCAGCGTTTGAGTATTAGGTCCTCTTTTTGGCCAACATTCATACCCACATAGCAGTATGAGCCCAAGATAAAGTAAGTTCACTTCTACCCCACCTTGGTTTTTATGACTCAGCTGGAAACTACCTCCGACTGTGAGATGGATGGTAAACTGAAATTGGCTTGTTCTGTGATCTGGCAGAATCCCCCACAGATTCCTCAGAGCAATATGTAAGGGCGGGGGGAATGCCATGTTCCCTATTGCTTGAAGAACAAACCCGAATGTTAGATGCTGCATGTCTCTAACAATAACTAAGGTTGTTTGGCATGTGCTGAACCAGCCTGTTCTCAGTTTCTGCCTAATACACGGACTAGACACAGTTTTCAAGTCTAAACCATTCTGCTCTAAAAGAAATATGGCAAAAACTTTCTACAAGAAAATCCAGTTCTTAAACTAAAATGGAAGTTTCTTGCCCCATTTTTGAAGTGAGAGAGAGATGGCCATCAGACGAGAGAGCTAGAGATCAGAGGCCTTTCCTCTGAAATAGATCCAAGCAGGGATTCCTCAAACTTTAGCAAGCAAAAGGCACATTGGCAACTTGCCAGAAGCCCATTAGTTACTCCTAGTTTGCATAAAATAAAACTTACTGCAGCCAGTCAAGAATACAGGTCCTAGAAGCCATGTTCTCAAAATGAGAAATTGCATTCTAGCAGTTTCAGTTTCTGCAACCCACCCTCAAGGAATCCAGCTTGTACCTTGGGCATTCAGCATCAGTTGTTCAGGTCACCACTGCTTGAGCTAATGGAGATCTGGCAAAAACCTTTATTTTCTCTGAGGGGTAGCTGTGTTAGTCTGTATTTCTGTGGTACCTTAAAGAAAAACAGATTTATTTAGGCATCAGCATCTGACAACACAGTGCTTATCAGTATTAATAATGAAGGTGGCTGTAGGTCCTGTTACAGAACACAGTGCATTGCATAGGGTCCGGAGCACCCAAGGCATAGATAACTGTTCCCCCCTCGCCTCTACTTTCTTTGAGCAGGCAATATCAGTAGGCAATATCAGTCAGTCATCTTGTGGCCCTGGACCCTTCAGTGTCTCGTGAGAGTGATTTTGCCCTAACACTAGTGAATTTCACCCTCTGTACTATAAATATTCTTAGAGTGATATCACAGTTTCATCCAAATAGTGTTTCTGGAGCTACAACTTTATGCCAAGAAGTACCACATGGCCCACATCTTTGGCCTTCTCAGTGCATGCTGGGATTCTACAAGGAGGTCATGGCTCCTGGCATGGAGAGGGTGCAGCTGTGGGAACAGGGCTGAGGTACCAAATTCTTTCTGACATCTGATGCTTCCTTGGGAAATGCCCTCAGAATAAGGGATTGTAGTGCAGCCATGACCTGTCTGAATTCTTTAACTGTGCTTTGCAGTGTAATTTTTTCTGATGTCTGAAGCTCTCTGAAAACTTCCTCTCCCCAGTCTACAGAGTTCGTCTGGGTCTCCATAATACCACAAGCCTAACTCTAGCTCACCCCCCTGGTGGCTACTTTTCATTATTTTGTTTCACGTGATAGGAGCCAGGTTTTACACAAAGACAAAAGGAACAGTGCTGCAATCCTGGAAAGCCAGATTATTTTGCCTTTGCTCAGCTGCCCTCACTGGAATATACCGAGACCCATGCATTGGAGCTCAGAAGGAATCTTTTATAAACCTCAACAAAAAACTGTTTCCCCCGAGTACTGAAATTTTCCAGCCCTGTAATGTCCCCAAACTCCTCTCTCTCAACCTCCCATTGCCTCTGCCCTCCCTTAAAGACAGTGCTACTTTGACCACCAGATAAGCCTACACTTACTGGGTAGTTGAGTACTCGACTACTTTCGTACATCCTTAGTATATCAACTATTCAACTACTCTACTTGCATCTCGCCCACCACCCCAGGACCTGAGAGGAGCCAGCTACTCTGGCGGAGGCTCAGCCACAGCTCTGCTCTCTGCCTGTCACACGCAATGGCACCGTGCTCCCAGGAGCCCCACTCATGCATGGCAGGCGGGGAAGTGGCCAGGGCTGCCCAGCGCTGGGCCAGGAGGACTGAAGCCCAGGCAGGCAGAGCAAAGCAGCCAGGCAAGCTCAGTGCTCCCAGGCTAGGCTCAGGGAGATGCACTGGGCAGGTTGGCAGCACTCTGTGAGTGGGTCCACTGGCGACACTGTGCGGAGCTCAGGGCTGGGCTGGCAGCGCTCGGGGTTCCGTGTGGGCTGAGCAGGCGGGGGCAGCACCTCCGGCTGGGCCGAGTGCTGGCAGGAGGCTCTGGCATTGAGCCAGTGTGGCTGGGCTCGCTGCTCAGCTAGAGTGAGCGCAGACTGAGTGCTGTGCACTGGCAGCCGCAGCCCACTGAGCTCACAGGCAGGGACTGGAGCTTGTCTGTCGCAGGGGCTTTGTCCCGAGTGGGTGCTGTGTGGCTCAGCCCGGGTGCACTGCAACCCGAAGGGGCAGAATCGGGTTTGTGGCCAAGGGCCAAGCAGGGCTCACGTGGCCCAGCTTCCACTGTCCTCCCACCCTAGCCCTGCAGTTCCTGGCCAGGCTCTGCCTGGCCTGGGCAGTGCCTGGGTGCTGCTACCTGCTGTATCAGGCAGCCAGTGCACAGCCCCCAGGTAGGGATGTTCAGACAGGGATGGGCAAAAGGGCCTCTGTGGGCCAAATCCAGCCCACCAAGCAGATGGATCTGGCCCGCGTAGGCCCTGCTGCTCCCCCTTCCCCAGGCCAATTAGGACCTGGGGACGGGGGAGTGTGAGAAGCCTCCTCCCACCCTGCCAGCAGCACGTTGCGCTTTGAAGCACAGCGTGCTGCTCGCAGGGCACGGGGGAGAGCGGAGGAGGCTGCACACACTTCCTTGCCCCCAGGTCCTGATTGGCCTGGGGGTGAGGGAGCATGCCAAGCCTCTTCCAGGGCATGGGTGCTTAGTGGGAAGGGGGGGGCAAAGGGGCTCCTCCACCCCCAGGCCATGATTGGTCTGGGTCTGGGGGGGGGTAACCCACCCCTTCCTGTTTAGGCCACGCCCCTTTGGGGGTGGCCTGGGGCTACTTCAAAAATATCAGATAGAAGCAGCAAGGGGGGAAAAAAGGAGGCACTTCAAAGCAGCAGTGCCGCACGGAGCCCAGGATCAGCTGTGCGGCGTGGCCAAAATACATCGACTATTCGATTAACGAATTACACTCTACTTAACATCCTTACCTCGGGGGAGCCCTCGCCCCGAAATGGCTTTGGCTTCACTTTGCAGGGCTGGAGGCGCGAATAGGCAGGGCAAGCGTCCTTCTGCTGACCCAGTGCTTTCTTCCCGGAGCCCAGACAGCCCACTTGGGGTTTCCGTGGTCCTTCAGCTTCCTCCCCTGGCTTCTGGATATACGTGGCAGGGAGGCACTGTCTGAGGTTCTCCCAAGCTGCCAGAGACCGGACAGGAAGATGGGAGATGTGGTTAAATGAGATGCGCTGGGAAACTGCATCCCAAATGAAACTCACCCACGGGCTGCCCCTTGCTGGGCTTGCCCAGCGCATTTCGCAGATGGGCTGCTGGACCCGGTGCAACCCGGAGCTATCCCTGCCATGGCTCTTCATTTTAAGTATAGTGAGAGCCAGGCTGCCTGTGTGCCCAGCTCTTACTATGTTAAACTACAGAGCCGCAGCGGGGGTAGCTCCCCCATCGACTAGTCGTGTAGTATACAGAATTATGGTAGACTACATGATTAGCTGATTACTAGTTTAACATCCCTAACTTTGACTTCCCGTTATGTGCGCTTTCTAGAGTGGGGCCTTTCAGGTCAAGAGGCATACAAGGTCCTTGTCCTGAAGCGCTTACACTCTAAATAGAAGACAGCACACTAGGAGATGGGAGGCAGTAGCAGGCCACTGACAAAAGCTGAAGTTGGCATAAAGCTTGTTAGTTCCATGGCTTTCATTTGGCAGCTAGTCTGGTTCGCTTGCCTGTTTTGTTAATGCTCCTTTAGGGAAACATTAGCTTTGATGTTGCTATTTCAGTAACTCCTGTGGGTTGGCCTCTTTCCTTCTGCATCATGACACACTTCCCAGGCCAGGGGAGCAGTAACAGGAATTGCTCGGCTCTCAGGCTGCTGCTGGTTTCCCACACTCAGCTAAGTCTCATGCATGCCTTTGGTCTGCTAGGTAGCAGAGTTCCAGCCAGAGTTGGTGAAGTATCTTTGCTCTCCCATGCTATATTTGATGTGGTCACCTCAGACTGTATAATTAGGTGTATAATCGGATGGTCATGAAGGGGAGGGATGAAGGATATGGCTGCAGCAAGGATGAAGCTGGCTCGTCTGTATTGCTTGCCTTCCGCTGATGCTGAACAGAGCATCTTCTTGCCAACGAGGCACCAGAAAGCCTTTGTTCTGCTCTGCCAAATGCTCTCTGTGACAGTTTGCTACCACCAGGGGAGCTACTTGCTTTATTTGTCACTGAGCAGAAGCAGAGCAAAGTGGGACTGGAGCGCCAGGTTCTCCTTGCAGCACCTATGAAGGGCTCCTTTCTGTGCGACATTCACAAGGATTTAAAACTCCATGACTGTTAAACTGGGGGCTGAGAGACGTATTTGTTAGTCCTGTTCCTGGGGAGGGCAAGAGGACAGCAAAAATACCCCAGTTTCAGATAATGGTTCTTAAAACCTGGATGGAAACATTTGGGGGGACCAAAATATCTAATGATGCTTGTCATATATTGTTAGTTTATAAAATTAAGGCTTTACTATGGTCCAAAAGGCCCTTCAGTAGCCAGTCCATACAAGTGTCACCCAACTGGTTAACGGGGAGGGGAGGGGAGTTGTGCACCCTCTTCCACACCAGTGCTGTCCGGGGGTTCTGGTCACCAATGTTGCTGCAGTAGTGGTGGCTGGGACCTCCTGAATCCTGGCCCTTTTGAATTGCAGGACAACTGCCCCCTTTACACCCTGTATCACTGGGCCTGAGGCGATGGCATACCTAATGGTCTTAAAAAGAAAAAGATTGCTGGCGCTTGGCTTCTGTGTATGGGGCTTGCTCACCACTGAAATTAGATGTCTGAGGATAGTGAGCAAAAGACCCTTGGCTCAGGACAGAGCGTTACCAGCTGTGACTGCAGTGTGGATACTCTCTTACTGCAGACTCTGGATCACATGTAACGTCTGTTTCTTGAGTCGGGGTGTAAGTGGGTAACCGGCTACCCAGTAAGTATCACCCTTACCGGGTGATGCTTACCTTTAACAGATTAACCAATAACAGAATTTTTATTAGTTACGCAGTTAACATTTTTTAATATATTTTTTTTACATCCCTACTCTTGTGCTTGAGATCCTACCCCCAGCTATTCCTCATCACTGATTACCTACTTGCTGTCTGATTTGGACTATTTGCTCATTTTGTTTTAGCTAAAAATTCCTCTCTGCCTTTTCCAAGGCTGTCCAGGGCATGTTTTCTGAGCCTTACAACACGCAGCCTTAGTCCCCTCCTGCAGAAACCTCCTTCAAACCTACCTTTGCTCACAGGCCATCAGACAGGGACCCATATAACAGATACTGTCCAAGTCAAGAAAATGACATTAAATACGGCAGCTGATGCATTACCCTAGTGTCACCTCAGCATCCATGACCATATTTCCTACTCTGCTTGCTTTTGTTTTCCCAGCATCATGTCTGCCAGTCTCCACTTTGATCGTGGTGACTTATTTTTCAGGGAGTCTGTGCCACCAGTACTTCTCACACACAGCTCTGAGCTGCTGCTCTCTTCATCTCCGTTTGGTGACCTTTAATTTGTAGAACACACTGGGCCAGTTTTCATGTTTGGGGTGGCCAGCTGACGTCAGTAACATTACCCAGGGGCCAGTATGACCCAGTCCAGACTTGCTTCTGCAGCACGTAACCCTTTGACTTCTTGGATTCTGGAGAGAGTTCAGGAGAAAAGCTTGTTTGAGTGTTCTCAGGAAATGCTATATAGCTCTCAGTCCTAACTTTTAACAGGTGCCCTTAGGAAGGGATACTCGCGTGAAACCACCTTCTACCACCCTTTCTGCTTCTTCATGAGACAGCTGATACTATGCTGTATTGTGGTCACACTGAGAAACCCCAATTGGGAGTTGGGCCCTGATGTACCAGGTGCCTTGTGCACATCAGCAGGCTCAACTGTTGCCTCAAAGAGCTCTCTCTGTAACATAAGACGACAACCAAATGTAATAAATGAAAGAGGAGGAGATGAGGTAAAGCAGGAACATGCTGAAGATAAGATCATACCATCATATTAGGTTGGTGACTTGCACAGCTAGGTGGTCCTTATGGTTCTCAGTTGTCTTAAATTTCAATCAAATCACTCTCTTTGCCTTACAATTAAATCATTGTTGGCTGCATAGTTTCTTGTGGGTGTCACAGCAGAGGTGAGTCCTGTAGAGGGATTAGGAGGAGGAAACAGTAGCGGCTTTACAAATTAATTCAGGGAGGACATAAAAGGGTAGTGTGGAGGAAACCACAGAGACTGATTAGAGAATGACTTTCAAATGTGGGACTTAACCTCAAACCATCACACATCCTCCAGTTAAATGGAAATGCCTCCAATGCAAAACCAAGGCAAGATCTGTGCCTGCCTCCAGGAGTCATACTTGCTAGTACAAGAGAACACCAGACTCTGTTCTGGCCCAGAACCCTGGAGTCTGGTTGTTTGAACCCTCTGGTTCCCCTTGCCCTTTCTCTGTGTGGTTAGCCTTGCATTCACTGCTGGATCAAGGACATGAGAACCAGAGCGCATGTTTAAAACCAAGGGGAATTCTTGCCCCTTCCCATACGTTAGGGAAATGTCCCCAGTGTTCCTAAGCCTCTTTACCAAGCCTCACATTCCTACCCATCAATTCCTTGTCCTTATGCCTCTGATTCTTCCCCCTGCCCATGCAAGCATGTAACCCTTGCACAGGTCCAGCCCTGACTCCTGACCCAATGCACTTGCAACACTGTGCTGTACTGAATCACCTTTCTGAATAACGCTTGACATAGGCACTCACACACCAGGGTAAGGAGTGCTGTTGCTGGGGAAGAGCTACTGTTCTTGATGTTTTGATCTAGCATCCAGAAGCAGATGTTCTCATCCCGTCTTGTCTTTTTCACAGATCCAAATGCCGTGATCCCAGAGCACCTGACAACCAGTCGGCCTAGCAAAGAATCTGACAATACAGTGAAAATTGCCACGCAGAGTCCACGCAACAAGGTCACTGAGGTGGAGGATCCTGGGAAGCCAGGTAGGGTTTACCTGTGTATTTGAGGAAAGAGTTAAAACAGCAGTGCACTTAGTGGGGCCTGGGAAGGGTGGCCAGGATCGGCTGTTGATCGCCAGAGGAGCCAGACCCAGTTCAGTTCTGAGACTCCAGGAAACTGAGAGACATTAGAGCAGGGAGTTAGAGGAGATATCTGCCAGCTCTCTGCACAGGTTCCTGCAGATTCGTCATCTGAGGTTCCCTTACCAGGCATCTCCTGGTGTTACTGCTTTGCCTCTCTTTGGTAGGGGCATAGACAGCGAGATGCTGCCAAAGTCTAGAGCAGTGACAGAGTGGACTTAGATTCTGAACGATAGTTCTTGGAGTTGCCTTTTCAGCTCGCCAGTGTCTTAAGCAGAACACAGGCCCTCAGGGGAGCCTGGGTAAATATTCTGCTCTAATCTATTCTGCTAGCCTTTGCCAAAGCCTGTGCCACCATATCGACACCGCTATTGTTTAGCTTTAATCTAGCTTGTTTGGGTAAGACAAGTATCTTTCTTTATCCATGCTAGGGTCACATCTTCACTTACACTGTAAACCTATCCTGAGGTTGCTTTGCTTCTGAGACTGAGAAATGAGGTTTATGTTCACGGGGAGCCCAATATGTTCAGAGTGAAAGAAAGCACCCTTTGAGCACTGCTGTTCAGGGGTCTCTCCAGAGACACATGTCCATTCCTCCTCCTGGGGTCAGTGGGTCTGATGCGCCCACTAAATGGACGGTTGCCTCTGCTGGCACAGTTCACTCGGAGGGCTGTTCTGCCATCTGTAAGGGCTGGAGATGAAATTACAGCAGAGGGGGACCCCAGAGGAATGGCCTTTGAGATATTGCCAGCCCCTTTGTGTCATCAAATCTGGGTGCAATACAGGAATATGTTTCCAGGCTCCATAGTGTAGACATACTCTATGCTGACGCAGGCTATGTCTATACTACAGAGCCTACCCCGGGCATGACACAGCCTATGCCAGCAGATGGGTTTTCTGTTGGCATAGGAGAACTGCCTCCCAGAAAGTTGATGGAAGCACTCTGCTGTCAACATAGCTATGTCTACACTGGAGGCTAGGTAGTTATGTAGGTTAGGGTATTTTTCAGACCATTGTAGCTATGTTGACATATCCTTAAAGTATAGGCCCAGCCTGAGACTGAACTTCAATTCCTACCCCCTCAAATCACCCATCATCACTCTTCCTCTTCCTCTTGGGTTATGCCCAGTCTTGCATCTTAACCTTTCCTCCTGTCCCATCCTATAATAGGTATTTGCCAGTTGCCATTGCAGTACATTAGTGAGCTGAGTTTTCTTTTTTGTATGCAGATGGGTGAATTCTGAACTGGTATGCATACAAGCTTCTTCAGTGATGCTTTCGCAGTATGCCTCATCCCTGACTTGCAGCTCCCCTTGCTATTTCAGTCTACCACTCACGCTAAATTGGGTGTGGTGGTTTTGCAATAGAGCAAGGGGATTAGGCTGAGACCAAGTAAATTCTTTGTGTGGCTTAAGCAAGAGAAGAGCCTAGATTCCCAGAGGAGGAAGGGAGAATAACTAAATGTGTGGGCAGGAAAGTAATTTCCTCACTTTAACCTCTCTTGTTTTTCCCCCATATCCCAGGTCTCGTTAACCAAGGTGATCAGAACACCCAAGGTAGCGGTGATGGATTGTTCAACTCTAAGGTGGCAGTATTTGCTGCAATTGGTGCTGGCTGTGTAATCTTCATCCTCATCATCATTTTCCTTGTTGTCCTCCTGATCAAGATCCGCAAGCGGCACCGGAAGCACACTCAGCAGCGGGCAGCAGCCTTGTCACTTAGCACCTTGGCCAGTCCCAAATGCAGCGGTAATGCAGGTTCAGAACCCAGTGATATCATCATCCCTTTACGGACTACAGAAAATAACTACTGCCCTCACTATGAGAAGGTGAGCGGGGACTATGGGCACCCCGTCTACATTGTCCAGGAGATGCCCCCTCAGAGTCCTGCCAACATCTACTACAAGGTCTGAGGAGCAGCCTCAGCAGCCTACCAATACAAGAGCACTAGAGAGCTGAGGGCCCTGGGGGCAGCTGCTGGCTCTCCCCACTAGTGTGCTCGCTCTGTGAGGGAGAAAGTGAAATGAACCCCATGGCAAGACCAGGGGAGCACAAGGGTCTCGCACCAGATAGTGGATCGCTCGCACGCTCTCGCTCTGTTCTCCCCTTTGTATTTAGTTTTGTAGTTCTCAGCTTTTGTAATCCCAAGACTTGAGGGTGGGCCTTCAGCATCCTCCTCCTGCTTCAGACTGCATCCTGGCTCTAGACGCATCTAGCAGTGATGTAGCCCTAGCTGCGTGCAGCAGCCGTTGTGTGTGGGCGCTGTGCCTTTCCTCACACCTGTCCCTGGTAATACCAGAAAACTCTGTACCTCTTGTTCTGGGGAGGACTCGTTCAGCTTTTCCATCTATAGTATGTTAAGTATTCTTGTGTTGGGGCTGTGCCAGTTGTCGCTTTGGTCTAGGATTGTCCTAGAAATTGGATTAACTTGTGAGCCCCAGAGAAGAACCTCCACTCACCTGAGGAATGAGCAGCTTGCGGCAGCACTTTGCGTCGGCGTGCCAAGGACGTAGACCCTGTGCAGGGAGGAGGCTGACACACCCAACTTATTATTATTATTATTATTATTATTATTTTTTAACTTTTGTAACGTTTTTATTTTTGTGAAATATTGGTGGGGCTCTGAGCCACCACCTGCAGCCTTCTGGCATGCTCCCTCTGCCATGCCAATCCGCTGGCCATGCTCGGCCGGGACATAAAGTCACCTTCTGTTGTCTTTGCCATTTTAATCTTTTGTGTTCAGTTTGTAGCAGTTGATTCTGGTTGGTCTGCTTAAAGGAGGAGAGGGGAGGAAAAATAGACCTGAAATGATCAGTGCATGAGTGAATCCAGGGCTTTCCCCCACTCCATGCAGAGCCAGCAGCCTCAACCCCTTCCAGACAGTAACCTTGGTGGGGACTCCTCCAAGGTGTGTCCTCCTCATAGCGTGTCCGTCACCTGATCTCTTTTCCTAGGACAGAGGCTGAGCTAGTTCTCTAACACCAGGGAGAGGACAGTAGGACAGCATTCACTGCCAGCCTCAGACGGGCTGGGTGTGGGACTGGGCTGGGAGAAAAGGGTGGGAGCATTCAGTAACTTAGCCACAGGGCTCATTCTTAGCTCTGTCATTTCCTCTTTGGGTTTGGGCCACAGTGCTTCCATTTTTGGAAAGAAAACTGGCTTTGAATTGTGCCTGGTCTGAAGCTTATACATGACATGTTCTCAGGAGGCTAGAGCAAGTGTTAGGAGAGCAGAAGAAGATGGCTAAGAGGAAGAAAAAGCAAACTGCATCAGTATGGGCGGGGGGAGAATTCAGTGGCCACATCAGATAAGCTGTTCTGGCACTGGCTGAGCTGGGGAAGTCGGGAATTCTGAGTAAGCTCAAAAGCCATCTAGGTTTCCATGTGACTCTGGCAGCCTCACCCCTTCCACAGAGCACAGCTGGGCATTTTCTCCCACTGACATGCTCGTTTTTTGAGCCCTATGTATTTGATCTCTTTTCCAGGAATGAGGCTTGTTTTAACCATCGTGCTGACATCCTGGCTGGTCGTGTTTTGAGCAGGCCCGTGGCATGCAAAGGCAGAGACTTGCTGTGGCACATTCTGCACCAAGCCTCATAGCTGAATTAGCTCACTTCCTTTCCCTTCCATTTCTGAAAAGCAAAGTTTTGGTTTATCCTCTTGCATTCTGGGAGCTGGCTTATTTCCACCCCTTGCTGAGTCATTCCAGAGTCTTTTTCTGTGGGAGGGGTATCCTAACCCTGTAAAAGTAGCCCTGAATCATCACTATTGAGACTTCTACCTATTAACATTGGAATCAGCTGTCTGTTCCATGCTACTGCTGCAGGAATCTTGTGCAGAGAGTGGGGAAAGGAGGGAGCAATAAATTTTGTGATTTGGCTGGCCTCTAAGAGCAAAGCCAGTGATTCAGCACTAAACGCAAGGCTTAGCTCCTTTATGACATCAGCAAATCCTATTGGTTGCTGTTGTCATGACATGGTGTAGACGGAGCGTGGTCCTGCCTTGAGGGCAGGGGGCTGGACTCGATGACCTCTTGAGGTCCCTTCCAGTCCTATTATTCTATGATTCTATGAGTTCTAGTCAAAGACCCTGCTCCATCTTCTGAGTTACCAGGTAACAGATCCCCCTGTGTGACTCCCTCCCATGCATGCATGTGTCCCACCTCGCTGGGCAGGAATGGCTGTGCTCTGTAGCAAAGAGCCCAGACCTAGTTGTAACATGAACTGAGCAGCAGTGTTTGGGGTCATGAATGGGACCTTGGAGCGTCCTTCCATGCTGACCTTGTTGTATCCAAGTGGTGGGTAGCTATATTCTGGGGGAGGAGGGAGGGATTTCCCAACATCTCATAGAAATTTAGGGCTCAAATGGACCTCAAGAGGGCAAGGGTAGCCTCCTTTGCTGAAGCAGGACCAAGTAAACTTGACCATCCCTCACAAGTGTTCAGAGGCTTTTAGAGCACATTAAATAATGATGAGGATTCCACAGCCACCCAAGGGAAACTGTTCCAGAGTTTAATTACCCTTATCATTAAAGTTTTCCCTAATATTTAACCTGAATCTCCCTAGATGTAGCTTAAGCCTATTACTGCGTGTCCTACTTCAGGGCAGTTGATCCCTGTCTTATTTATAACAGCTTCAGGGGGTAGCCGAGTTAGTCTGTACAGGAAAAAAAACAAATGGTTTGGTAGCACTTTATAGACTAACAAAACATGTAGATGGTATCATGAGCTTTTGTGGGCACAGCCCATTTCTTCGGATGACCGGAGTCTGACTCTGGTCATCTGAAGAAGTGGGCTGTGCCCACAAAAGCTCATGATATCATCTATATGTTTTGTTAGTCTATAAAGTGCTACCAGACCATTTATTGTTTTTTTTTCTATTTATAACAGCCATTCACCTACCTGAACACTGTTGTCAGATATCCTCCATCCCAGTCATCTTTTCTCAAGACTAAACATGCCCACTCCCAGTCAACTTTTCTCAAGACTGAACATGCCCAGTTTTTAACCTTTTCTCAGTGGTCTGGTTTCCTAGCTCTTATCATTTTTGTTGCTGTGCTCTGGACTCTCACCAATTTATCCATATCTGTCTTAAAGTGTGGTGCCTGCAATTGGACTCAGTTCTCCAGCGGAGGCCTGAACAAATAATTGTCTTGAGCGTGTGTTGATATGACCCTTGTGATGGGGCCTCCGCATCATGCATGAGAATGGGTGGGGAGTGGAAGACCCTCTTGTTTCTTGCCTTTCCCTTTGGGAAGTGGCTGTTCTGGATGGAAGCACAGTGCCAGGGAGAGAAATTGTAGTGGGAAGCCATTCCATTAATCACATCCTTGAACCAAATAGTGAAGGTATCTCCAGGCAACAGAAGGTCTCTTCTCCCTTCCTGTCCTCTCCAAGAGATTCAGGTACGGAGTAAGGGAAGAATCACCACTCCACTGAGGTCCTGCTCTGCTGCACATGGTACTTAGGAGTCATTCAGTCCACTGGACTCACTCTGAGGTTGCCCCCAAAGAGCGTGTGTGTTGCTGCCATCTGCTTTTCCCAGCCCCATTTCTGGGCAGGGATTCCTCTTTTCATTAGTTTACTGGCTCCAATTTACAAGTCCATAAAAAGAAGTGGTGAGAGCAATGTCGTAAACTATCATTGGAGCTGCAGCTGTTGCCTAGTAGAGACCTGGGGCCAGAGGCAGTCAGGACATGGCAGGGGCCCACAGCATCCTTATCAGCCTCCAAGCTGGGTTCTGCTTAAAGTGCTGGGCTAGTGCCCCAACCCTCCTCCTATCTTCCCAGCATGTTTCTCTGCTGTGAATTCATCTGTTCACACAAACTGGTGGCTCCAGAATTGGCTGTTTGGAAGTGCACAGCAAGAGAGCACCTCCATGCACTGGGCCCCTGGCTGCTGGCAGCAAGGGGAGATGTGGCCCAATTCCAGGCACGGTTCGGTAAATAAACAGGGAGCAGGAACACAGGTCAGAACACAGGGTGGGTGGGGGAGGTGGCTCGGCTAACCGTGTCTCATTACAGGGAGTCTCTTCTGAGTCCTGGTCTTGTCTTCTCCCTCTAACCCAGGGCACTGGAGGAATGTGGGGCCAGTGAGATCTAGAGGGGAAAGTGAGCCCTGTGCTTTGTGGAAATAGCCTCCTGCAGGCTGCATCAAAGAGCAATTGTTTAGTTTTTTTAGAAATGGAAAAATGAGAGTTCAGGGTCAAGCAGAGCGGCATTCTCCCCTTCTGCCCCCCCCCCCCCCGGACAATCCCAACAGGGCAACAAGCAGGACACCCCACCCCCCAATCTCCACAGTGCGGGGTGATAACCCGGCTAGAACCATGGCTGCCTTTACAATGGGAGGAGAAGAGCCTTAGAATCCCAGGGAAACTTGTGCTAACCTGATCCCATTGTCCCTTCCTGCGGTCTCTGGACTGAGGCACGGCAGAAGGGACACTGTGTCTCCCCTCTTCCCGCCCCCTTCTTCCCCCCATTGCTTGTTCAGCTGCCAGCCCCTGAGAGATGGCAGGATTGAAAGGTTTCATTTTGCACCTTTCAGTTTTGCTTTGTCCCCAAATGCACCTTTCCTTCCCCACTGGGGTGTCTATGCAGGATGCCGTGCTGTGCCGCATTGCTGCCAGGCTGCACAGAGTGTTTCTCCAAGGTGTTTCTAAAGGGCTTAGACAATAGTGCACTTTGAGGCTAGCTCGGCTGAGGTCATCAGCCAAGGTCCAGGTTTTTCAGTACTCCACAGAGAATTGACTGAGTCTATTGTGTAAAACTGCAAAAAGATTCTAATCTTAAAGAAATCCCCCAGATCAGCATCCTGTTTCCAGGTGCAACCATGAAACAATCAAGATTTCAAAGCTGGAGAAGTAGCCCAGCCTGTGTGCATGGTTAAAGAACCATTTGTTTACAAAGAATTTCACCTAACAGCCTGAAAAGGAATGATAGGCAGTGGTTTGAGACTGAGATGATGGAGAGGGGGCATGCTTGATGGGAAGGGCTAGGATATGCAAGGGGCCTGGCCAGATGTTTAAACCAAAAGAAAATAAATACAATTATTTCAACTTTAATGTTGGCTCTCCAATGTGATTACTGACCCCTTAATGCAGTGACACTGTGCTCTCCCCTCCCTTGCTTTTCTAGGGTTTTTAAATCTTAGTATTGTACTGCTAATGAAAAGGTGAAACCACCCATCATCAACAGAATGAGGGTTGCTTGTTAGTAAACCCCATAAACCGAACTAACTCCTCTAGCTGTGGGCAGCTGAAAAAACTTGTAACCATGTCAAAGGGTGAAATCTGAACTGTAATCTTGCCGTGCACCTGTCTGCTGGGTCCTAAACCTGAGTGTCCCTTTTGTTCTTTTAACTGAAAGAATTGAAGGTGTTTTTGTTTTTGTTTGTGTGTAAATACTAGTCTTTTTTGGAAAAAATAATGTAAAGATGTTTTGTATAAACTCTGAATTATTTTCTGGTTGCTTTTTCTTAGAAAAACAAATGAGAACTTAAAAAAAAATAACTGCAAGAACGGGTGTAAAACATTATCATACCACGATCAAATTCAGGAGGCTCATCAGCAAAAGAGTGTGTGTGTGCGCGTGCACTTCAGTGGAGCCATGGAGAATCAGGGAATGGAGTGAGGTTGAATCTGGCCTGGATTGTTTAACTAAAAATCCAAGCCCCAAAACTGCCTTCCCAAGAGGATGAGAAATAGGAGACTGCTGTGATAACTGCTTCAGGTGCCCAGCTTGCCTGCCCACATGTGTTTAATCCATCTTTAGAGAGAGTCACCTGTAAGGAAGTATTTCTTCTGATGCCTGAATCAGTGCTCTCCAGAGGAAGTTATGTAGGAACAGCCTAAGCTATAGTGGGGACGGTAAGATCTGTGGAATAGTTGATTATATTGCAACAGTCTTTGTGTTGCAATTAAAGTACAGCTACTTAGTACCCATTTCTAGTTGCTGCTTTTTTTCCATCTCCTTTTACCTTCTTTCTTACCTCCTGACTTCTTCCTGACCATAGTTAATTTTACAAACTGAACACCCTCCCCTAGGCCTGGCTAATTCTTACTGGTAGTGTTCCCAACTCTTGCACTCTCTGGTGATTTCCTACAACCCCAGAGCCTGCAGTTATGTCCTGTAAGAATCTGAGCTTTTTTTAGGAAGTTCCTAGCCCTCAGGGGTGTGAAGAAAAGGTGGATAACATGACCTGAGTGCACTGTGAAAGCTCAAAAAGCAGTTGGTAAATACCACCCATTTTTTTTAGAAAATCATTATTTTTAAGCCAAACTCATGATCTTGGGAGATTAATGTTGTGATTATTTTTTTTAATGTGTGGAGTTGACAGTGCTGGGGTGGGTTGTTAACCCACCTCTTCTTTCTAATTTGAGAAAGCTAAATGTTCCCTCCTGCTGCTGTGCCTGATGCCTTGATGTTAAAGAATTGCACTTTGCCTAAGTAAAGCAAATGCGTGGGGAAGCACTAGAGGTCAGTGCCATGAGGGGAAATGTGCACATTTCTCATGGAAGCCATTTCCAACTCTGCTGTCACCTTGGCGAATGGCAGGTTCTGGGATGGAAGAGGGCTAGTAGATCAGTCTCCCAAGTCGGAGCCTGTGGTGGTTGCTCTCTGTACTACAGCTGCTGGTCAGTTAGTTATGCCAAAAACCTTCTGCATTCTTGCAACATGATGAGTTCCTGGGAGGTGGTTGCTGCAGCAGTACCAGGTTCTCCAGAATGTTAAGTTGATGAGGGGAAAAGAGTCAAAGGAGCTCCTTGTCTTCATGGCAGTGCACGCGCAAACACACGCTGTAGCATGGCGTGCTCCCATATTTCAAGTCGTAAACAGGAAAATGTTCATGAGAGGTGTGCACGTGTATGCAAATACACCCTGGCATGACACATGAGCCCATGCATCACAATCATGTGCATATTTGGGTCATCTCATTAAATACCACAAGCCACTATTTCTCAGCAAATCACACTTCCTTCCATTGTCCTAAGCTGAGGACCTCCTTAAGTCATGTGATCAACCAGTGACCCTGCTGCCTCAGCCTCCTTTGCTCAGCTATGCTGGAGCAGTAACATAGTCAGCTATGGTCTCGCAGGCATTCTGACTGGGTCATACTGTCACCTTTCTTTCCTGCATCTCAAACACTTGCTTGTCCCTGTAGCTGATGCTGCCAGCAGGGTGACCCTACTGTAAAAGATCTGAAGTAGCAAGTCATCCCTTTGTGCGTTCCTGGTGTGCCAGTGAACCAGACAAAGCAGGGTGAGGGATGAATGCATTTTGGGACTAGATCAGTGGTCATGC